CACGGAGGCCAGGTGCAGGCAGCAAGCTTGCTAAAGGTGGGGCTTCTGAGTTGGAATCCGAAGGATCCCTTCTGCCATATGAACATGTGAAATATATAGTTCCCTGCTAACAGGAAGCTTGCCGAGAAGAAAGAGCTGGGTGCCGTCGTGCTGGAGACCTGCAGCCTGGCAAGCGAACATCAGAGTGGGGGAGCGTGTTCCTTCGCTTGGGCGCCGCGCGGGGGGGATGCATCCCCGACTGCACATCTTTGGAGTTTCGCGGCTTTTGTGCGAAGTGGCAGCTGAAGTCTTTGAGGCAAAACCCGGTGGAGAAGAGTAGAGGAGATCCGCTGTGATGTGACAGAGCTGTTGGGACCTGGAACACGGGCCCGGAGTGGACGTCTTTTCATTCTTCTTTGGTCCCTGGTCCTTTCCTTCCCACCGACATAGGTTCCAGAAGCCCCGAAACGAAACAACAGCCAGAGCAGGAGACTCAAAAGCCCGGAAGTCCTCTCCGGTCTATCCTGGACAACGAGATGCAGGCAATGACTGGTTCAGGGGACATCTTCGTGCGTAGCATGACACAGCACCAAAGCGAGTCTGGGTTCAGAGCCTTGCGAGAAACAAAGATGCACCACCCACTCTTGCCAGGCCGCTTTGGCTTCCAGCTAAGTTGTCTGCAAGTGAGCGCTATTGTCCGGATTCTCATCACATGCTCTAACACGTCATTCCAAGCAGCTCGTTACAAGACTTTCAACAGTTTGTCAGACATCCGGACACGGCGCTCAGCAGACGGTGCGACATCTGCTAACTTCTCTCTATGGAAGTCCCCTCGCGACGCCAATTTGGACTGCCATGTGCTCTGCGCTTCTTCAGCGTGCTTCTCGTGCTTGGCCTTACGCTGCGGCAAGACGAAGACATTGAGTCGCTGACGGCAGACCAGACTTCAAGCTGCACTTTTGACGCTCAGCATTGCCCCGGCAGTACCCATTAGTTGTGTTCAAGACCTTGCCGGCTTCGAAGGAACGCACTGGAACATCGGAAGAGCCGGAAACAGCATGGAGCGCGAAGAAGCCCGGCTCATGTAGCATAAACAGTCTACAACTGTGGAGCCCTGTTTCGATGAAATTTGACCCCGGCGCAACTGCACTGCACAGGATTGATCGATGCAAACTGCAAGCATCCTCCGAAGATGGCCAGCGACAAGGCTCATGCTCGGAGCTCCGAGACCCCATAGGCCCAAAGCCCCACAGACAATTCAATGCAGCAGATGCGTGTCCAAATGCCTTGTCAGCCCCGTCAGGAGCAGGAGGCGATCAGAAGTAAGTGCCCCTTTGTCTGTTGCAAGGACTTGTAAATAAATATACACCTGTATATATGCATAAGTGCATGTGTATGTGTGTGTATATAT